CACATTCATGGATGTCCATCGCTGGAGGGCAGATTGCATGGTTCGAATTGCCGATATATTGAATAGTCGTGGAGAGGTCATGAAGGCAGTTGAATTGTGGAAGGCAGCAAGGCCTCTCTTCGAAAGATCTTCCCAGATGAAGGATATAATCAAGCTTGATGCAAAGCTAGCAGAGGTTGGCTCTGTTGTTTTGGCTAAGTATGAGGAGAAACTCCAACATCTTGCCAAAGTGCATGTGCCTGGTAGCACCCAAGATGAGAAATTTGTTGCCAAGGATGAGGAACAAGAAGAGGAGGATAAACTGGTTCAAACAAGTCATTTTTGTGACCAAGGGGAGGCAAGGACCTATGGTTTGAATTGCAGGGTGCATCTCTGATGGTCAGGGTTTGTATTTGAGTCCTATTGTTCATTCTCTTCAACCTTTCCACGCATTTTTGGATAAGTCCATACCCGCTTGTATTTGATGTGCAGGACATGTCATATCCAGGCCACGTCCGCTATGTAGTCTCTGTACTCATTAATTTATTGTTACACCACTAGGGGTGCTCAATTGCTATCTCGTGGGCCCGTCCCGTGGGTTTATTTGTCCCGAACAAATAGAATTCAAACTCTGCCATCCAAAAAGACTTTTTATAACAACGGTGCGGCCGCTAACGGTGCATATATCTTGCCCCAAAATCACATAACACATTCTAGAGTACTTTGGTAACATTTCTGGATAGATTTGATGTGTAGAAGCAGGTCTGGAGGTATGAATAACTGATGACGCTTTGCACGCATAGTTTCGCGGATTCATTTCCAAATACCACTTAGAAAAATGTCCATTAGCTCATTAGAGCCTCTTCATGTTTTATAAGTGGTGTTGGAACTCCACTGAGAGCTAGTGTAGCTCTGGAAACGGCATAAATACCGGGCGGAGTTTGAGTTCTATTTGTTCGGGACAAATAAACCCACGGGACGGGCCCACGAGATATAGCAATTGAGCACCCCTACTGCACCTCAACCAGTTTGTTGAAGCACAGAGCTGCAGTTGACCAGAGTGAGGAATGAAATCCTCGGGAGTTGGGGCCTTCACAGGGTTCTATGCTGTTGTGTGGCAGGAAATATTCTCTCTGTGTGATCAAACCGACTGTTTCTGATTAATCAATGAATTGAACCAGTATGGAGGAGGAGGAGGAGGATGTATTACCGCGGTGGTCCCATTGAGGAACATACGGGTACTGTACCTACATACACTTGCCTCTACAATGTAAATGCTTACTTCAACACATTTTAAGACTGACAAAGCCAATGTTGCTGTAGAATCCAGGAATGGGACATGGGTTGAGTTTGCAATTTCTCTGGCAGTAATTGCTGCAATTGTGGTATATTGGATCAGGTTTTTGAATGAAAGTGATGGCTGCATGGTGGACATATGTTATAGCGGATGTGCAGCAAGCGGTCACTTTTATATGTTGTCTTTGACATATTTTATTTTTAGCCTCCCTTATCTCCGACAACAGAAGTGGGCTAATTACTGCAAATATAATGATATGACACATCTTATTTGATCTATGCAGCTCGAGTCCGGGCGTGCACATAAATGCTAAGGCCAGTATGATAGCTTGTGCCCGTTATACCTGCTATTGACAAGGAAACATATTCACAAAAGTGGTAGCTAGACCAGAGCTTACAAATTCAGCATGAGAAATAACTGACAACTTGTCCATAATTCAACACCTGCCAAACCTCACCAGTCGGCCAAAAAAGCCCGCAAGACGGTAACTTTAGGTCTTTTGTGACAACCTCTGAGCCATCTTCTTTTTCATCATTGCCATGACGGATGTTTTTGCTTTTCTGACCACTTTTTTTATTTATAAAAGTGCCAAACCTATGGGAGTAACTTACTAACAAGGTGTGTAAACATCAATACTTATGAGACGCTCCGATGCCCCTTGAAATAATGGAGAACATGTAAGACATAGCTGTTGTACTGAACAGTAAGCAACTGCAATATTTGGACAGACAACATAGCAGAGAGCGCAGGGGGCTGCCCAGTTGTTCTGCTTGCGTGAGTATGGCCACGACAGTCGTGAACTCAATCCAGCTGCATCTTGACACACAGTATTGTTTGAAGAATCATGAACATCAACTCCACAAACCGATATTGCCCAATTGCCTGCCAAACCACCCCGACGAGGCTGAGCGGCTTTTACGGAGGAGCCCGAGCTGGGAAGTAACACGCCGCTTGCGCACGACTGAGCACGTCCCCAATCCCCCCCAGCCAGCATGCATCGCCACACCTAAAAAAAAACTCGAAAAAAAACCCCCCACGCAGATTCGGATCTGAGCTTGGTAAACTCGGCGCGCAGGTGCGCGTGCACGAGTGGCGCGACGGCTCGTACATCTGCGTCGTCATCGTCGCGTACGCCTGCGTCGTCACTGCCAAAGCCCCAGACGTGCCTCCGCATGTCCGTCCCACCAACTCTGAGCCGTGGGCGCCACGCATCGTCCCGCGCGCCACGACACGCGCCCTAGCAGTACATGCACGTCGCCTCACCACATTGACAAGGCACACCGCCTTGCTACACCGGCGAGGCACATTGCACCTGCGCCACGGCGCATCGCCGGACAGCACCCCAATCACCGCCTCGGCGTCGCATCGCCAAACCACCTTTGCGGCGCATGGTCGAGGCGCGCCCGCATCGCACCAGTGCTCCGTTGCCTTCGCAGAGGACGCACAGTCACGGCTGCGCGCAGGCGCCAATCGCACGCATCGACGCTCACCACGGCACCGGTGCTCTGCGGAGGACGCACAGTCATGGCGGCGCGCGAGGCCAAGCGGCGCCCCAAATCGCGCGCATCAACGCCCATCGCACCGGTGCTGCGCTACCTTCGAGGAGGACACACACTCGCGGCGGTGTGCGGGGCCAAGCGGCGCTCCACTCGCGCGCAGCGACGCTCATCACAGACGCGGAGGTGCACGGGGACACACATCCGAGTAGGCTAAGCGTGCCGCATGCGCATCCACGGCCCACTCACGTGTATCGCCATCCACCGCCAAAAGAAGAAAAAAAACAGCAAAGGAAAGAAGCGAGGATGGAAGGACGACGCCTGCCACACATCTCGCTATACCGACGCCGACGCAGCCCATCATTCCGCCGCCGCGAGCGCCATACCGACACCCTGCAAGGAGCTAGTGCGCCGTAGACAGTCGGCAGTCGGCGCACCCCCACGGAAAGAAAGAAAGAAGGGCCGCATCGGCTACGTCCATAACCGATCGTGTGCCCCTTCCCCCGAAAAAAAAAAAATAGTAAAAGAGAAACAAAAAGCACATCCCGTTCCTGCTCTCGGCGCGCAGGTGCATGTACGAGCGGCGCGACGGTCGTGGGCGGCTGTGGGGGACGAGTCTGGAGGGGGTGGTTAGCGTGGGGGGACGAGAAAGAAAGAAAGAAAATGAGTTAAAGAAAGGATAAAATAGGATGAGTAAAAGTGGAGGCACGGTGGGATGGAAGTGGGAGAGGATGGGAAAGGAGGAGGGAGAGCGGGAGGGAGAGGAGAAGGAAGAGAGAGCGGGGGACGGGGGACATGTGGAGGTGGAGGAAGCGCGGGATAAGGAGACGGGAGAACGGGGGCGCGGGGAGAGCGACGAAGGATGGGGGATAAGGAGTAAGGAGTGGAAAGTGGGAGATGTGGAGGTGAAGGAAGGAAGAGCAGGAGGGGCGGGGCAGGACGGTGTGGGGGAGGACAGGGGCGAGCGGCGTGGACGAGGGGAAGAGGGGGCAAGCAAGTGCAGAGGACACCAGATGGGTGGGACACGCGGACGCGGAAGGGGATGGGAAGAGAATGGAATGGCGAAAATACATAGAAAAGACGGGTGGGACAAGACCACGGAGACGCGCATGATGGCAGCGCGACAATTGCGCCTCCGCCTGCTCCTCCTCCTCCCGCATCGCAGACATACGCGCGCGGACCTTGTGCTAAACTTCCCGGCGACTTTTGCGGTGCTGACTGTCTTTCGCGCCGGGGCCGGAGAACTCGCCATCGATGCCGTGAAGCGAGAGCGAGGGCAGGCGCATGCGGATCTTGACCTGGAGAGGATGGGGTTAGCGAGTGGGGGAGCATACGAGGGCGGAGAAGCGCTCGCCTTGTTGTCGGAAAGCTTGATCTTGCTGCCCTGCGCGTCGAGGAGCATGCCCATGAGCGTGGCGAGGTCCGTCATGGGATCGTGCATTGTGTGGCCAAAAACGCCTGAATGCAAATCCATGAGTATCACCAATTTAAATACCGGAAAAAACGGACCCGAATGCAAGTCGAGCATTAGCTTGAGCCTTGAAATACCGAACCCGCGCAGGCCATAGGTCCGCGACGGGGTGCGCCGTTGAGCCAGTGGTCGTTGTCAATGCACACGCGGTCGACGTCCTTGAACCAACTGTCCTTCTCCTTCTCCACCATCCCTTCAAACCAATACACCAAATCCATTCCAAAATTCGCCGCTTCTGTTCGAGATGCCACTGCAGCACATTCACCCACCTCAGCACTGGGCCCATGTCAGATAAGATCTCGACGCCGAGGTCAAAGACGTGCGTGGACGGAGCTGCGCGTCGAGCCAGTGTGCCATCTCGAAGGTTGGTAGCAGGATTGCCGGATTGAGATCAGATGTCACGCCGTGACGATTCGAACACCAAAAAATACGTGCCTCCAAATAATTCGCGTGCGCGTACATAAAACTGTAGTGGGAATTTGGCAGATCTAAAATATATTTCGTTCACTGGATCCATGTGGGAATTCGAGGGCCTCACCCTCCCCCCCCAAAAAAAAAGAAGCAGAAATACCATTTATGACCCAGGCTCGATTCGAACGAGCGTCTTCTGCATACCTTGGTGGAGTCCGAGAGACTTGATAAGTTCAGCAGAGACGGACCATCCACCACTGGGCCGACATTTATATACTTCGCAACCCAGTGAAGTTGGCTTAAATTGTAACAAGCGGAATAAAAAGATTTCACCAGCCAAATACTATGGCCCAGGCTCGAGTCGAACGAGCGTCTTCTGCATATGTACCTGACAATTTCGATAAGTTCAGCAGACGCAGACCATCCGCCACTGGGCCTTGTTCTCCTCCCTTGAAACCTACAAAGATGGGGCAAACAGTTTAACTGAATAAAAAAAGCATGGAGTCGGATTACGCATGGCCCAGGCTCGATTCGAACGAGCATATTCTGCTTAAGATCATTGCAATGATGCAAGCCCAAGTATCACAGACGCGGACCTTCCGCCACTGGGCCTTCTCTCCTCCTTTGAAATCTAAATAGATGGGTTGATTTTCAATTAGCAAAATGAAAAAAAAACGGAATCGCAAATGCATAGCCCAGGCTCGAGTCGAACGAGCTCGCTCTGCTTAACCTCAAAGCTCTCTTTTGTAAATACCGCAGACGCGGAGCATCCGCCACTGGGCCTTTTTCTCCTTCCTGCTCAACAGAGTTGCAATTACCGTGTTGAATAAAAATATCATTGCGCAGACACATGGCCCATCGAGTCGAACGAGCATGCTCTGCTTACGTAGATGAACGGAACAATGTTTCGCATACGTTCCGCGACTGGGCCTATATTTCCATACCAAGGAACTCGGTTGGATTGGTTGAATGGCAGTTCCAAATGAAAAAAAAAAAAAAATGCTTCCACAAACTATGGCTCAGGCTCGATTCGAACGAGCTTACTTTTCTTTATGTAATCCACTCATTTACAAAGTTGAGCAGATGCGGAACCATCCGCCACAGGGCTTTGTTCTCTTCCCTTGAGACCTAGAGAGATGGGATTAATAAGTTGATGTAAAGAAAATGGCGCTGAAAACGAACGCTCCAGGCTCGAGTCGAACGAGCTACTTCTGCTTAGAGCCTCCAGAAAAACTGGCTAACTTTTTACAGATGCGGAGCCATCCGCCACTGGACCTTTTTCTCCAATCTAGCAACCCTGCTAAACAGAATTGCAGTTGCCGCGTTGAATAAAAAGGCAGTTTGAGACGTAAGGCTCAGGCGCCTGAGCCTCGATTCGAACGAGCGTATTCTGCTTACACGAAGATTTCACTGAAGAATGGCAGACGCGGAACCTTCCGCCACTAGGCCTTTATGTCCTCCCTCGAAACCTCAATAGATGAGGTGAATCTCAGCAACAAATGGAAAAAAAGAAAGAAAGAACGAAATGGTCTAACTGCCATGACCCCGAGTTGAACGAGCTAAGTACATCTGCATAATACCTCATTAATATATTTTGAAAGTTCAGCAGACGCGGAGCTATCCGCCACCGTGCCACTATTTCTATACCTACTATAGGAACCCCCTAAATTCTGCTAAACAAAGTTGCAACTACCACGTTGAATAAAAAGGTTACAGATTGGGTCTCAAGACCCAGGCTCGAGTCGAACGAGCTTACTTTGCTTGACCTCCACGTTTATTGTAAATATCGCAGACGCGGAACCATTCGCCACTGGGCCTACATTTCTATACCTAGAAACTGGGTTGGGTACATGGGATTTGAATCTCATGTTGAATAAAAAGGAGACCGAGGAAACAGGGCCCAGGCTCAAGTCAAACGAGCTACTTCAAAGTTCGGCAGAAGCGGAACCATCCGCCACTGGGCCTATATCTCGATACCCAGAAACTCAGTTGGGTTGGTTTAAATTCAACAAGTTGAATAAAATAAAATATACTGGGGGACACATAGCTGTGGCCCGGGCCAACGAGCTTGCTCTGTTTAGACTCGTCATCACAATGACAGTCTTGCAGACACGGAACAATCCGCCACTGGGCCTATACTACTATACCCAGCAGCTGGTTGATTTTCAACAAATTCAACAGAAAAGAGGGATCGAAGAGATTCATGGCCCAAGTTTAGCAGACGCGGATCCATCCACCACTGGGCCTACATTTCTATACCCAGATACTCCGTGTAGTTGATTGAATTAGCATGTTGAAAAAAAAATACAAGCGTCTTCTGCATAGTACCGTGGTACAGACTTTGACCAAGTTCCACAAAATCTGGCAGACGCGGACCTTCCGCCACTAGGCCAATATCCTGATATATCTATATTTATAAACCGCGTCAAATTGGGTGAATTCCAACGCGATAGGAGAAAGGCCAAGGCTCAAATAGAACGAGCATCTTCTGCTTAACTCTATGTAGATTCCCTTCAGAGTATGTAGACGCGGACTTTCTGCAACTGGGCTCAATTGAATTTCTGCCAACGCGGAACCGGGTGCTCAAAAATTTCGTAGCTCTGAAAGGGTGGTCTGAGTAGAGTTAAAATATTAGTATATGAAATCCTTTACCACTCCCTCCACTTCGCAATCGCAGTTGGCACCTGACGACAATCAACAATAGATACTTCGAGACCCTCGTCACGAAGCGCCTCCAACCGCCTGCCATTCGTCCGAGTCTTGATTATACGAACGCGGCCCAGGAGGATCTCGACAGAATGCAGGCGGCGACAATAGGCGGTATCAGCCACCCGCCACCGTGACTGCACCATGTCCACGAAAGCGGCGTGGCTGAGGACGCATTTTCGATCGGCCCATGAGATGGATGTCAAGTTGGGACACAGACAAGGTCCCCCTGATTCTGCATCGATCGTGAGAGCCGAGATGAGGCTGCTCATCTCCTCCGCGCCGCCGGAGAAGTCGATTTGGAGGGTAGTAAGGGATGGAGTACTTTGAAGAAGGGCGATGATGCTGTTGCAAGAGTCGCACATGTACAGTGTGAGGCGCGTCAACACACAGGAAGAACGGTCGAGGAAGGATTGGACAGCGTCGCACGCTCCGATGATATAAAGCTCATCGAGAGCAGGAGTAACGAGGCAATGGAGAAATTTGTCGATGCTGACCACTAGACGGCGCAGTGCGTGGAGGGTCACGGTTTGGCCGGACTGAGGGTAGTCGTGAAGCTTGTGAGGATACCCACCATGTGTCTGAACAGTGATGTCGCAGTGGACTAAGTCGGGTGCGGCTCTCAGGTGGCCGAAATGGTCCAGTGGGGTGAACGAAGCATTATATTCGGTGAGCTGCGCCCAGGGAAGAATAGAGTTAGGCGTCCAATAACTGCTGGCCAGGACAACCTTGGATAAACTCGGCGCATTTAGAAATGTATCCTTAATCTTTTCTTTCGCTATGAACGTGATCCGGAAGGGCCGGGTCGATGGGGCGAGAACCAGCTCTTTCAGCAGAGGGAGACTGTTTCGAATTCGGTCAGATATTGGCTCCAAGTCCTCGGTATACAAAGAGCGCCACCGTCCACAGCATCCGATGAGCATCCGTAGACACTCTTGATTTGACATGTAAACCGGTGCCTTTGGCAACAATGAAAACGTCGAGGAGGGAATCGGCTGACCGATGCAGTTGGGCTTCAACGATGGGTATGACGGAAATTGGCGTCGTCGGCGCAAACACGGTAATGGAGGACCAAAGAGTAGGGAACGAGAGAGCTATCGCCCTCCATTGCTGGCATACGTGTCCCAAAATCCAGGGACTACCCTTGAGCTGGGCGCAGAGGGGTACGTATGATGGCTTCAACTTGACCCCATCATTCATGTACATGTAGGTCTTCGCCGGTAAAGTCCAGAAGAATATCTCGCAAATGAGTTCAGGTGGTAGCGTCGTTATTGGCGCTTCGCGCTCGGATGTGTCGAGAAGCTGCGGCTGAGGCACAGAATCGGAGTGGGAATTTTCCGAGTCTGCAATGGTGTCCATATCCGTGGATTTTATCGCTGGAGATGGGCGTCTGGAACAAAATGACTCAACAGAAAGGGGTGGATGTCGAGATGGGTTGATGTGTTTATGTTTTGAGTTATTTTTGAGACCAAAGCACGGCTATTGCCGCAGCCCCTATGTTACGAACGTCTCGAAATTAAATTGACTTCAACGCGCATCTTTTCAAGTTGAACAGCCTATAATTTCGTACCTCGGATTTCCCTTAGAACTTCAACTGTAAAATGGTAAAAAGTCTACCAACAACCGGCCAACTGATGTGCGATAGTACTTGCCCTCAGATTTTCTGAGTTCTCGCGGATGCGGGCCGGTGAGTTGGTAAAGAAATCTGGCGCAAAAGGGACATGACCCAGGCTCGATCAGAATGGTCTTTGGTCACTCACAGACTCCGTATTTTATGTTGGTCTGGGCTCGCCATTCTTGGCTTCTCGTCCGTCGCCCACCTTCCCTGCTTTTACTTCTTCGTATCCTCCATATTCCTCTGATCCTCTAACCAAGTACATTGCATCTACCTACTGAAATACATCCTAAATGAAAGCTGTTAGTACTCTCACTGTTGACCCGAAATAAAGCATGCCAGCCGTGCGAGGAAGACTCAGCGGAATGAAGGGAAGAGAATGAATAACGGCAATCTTCCCAACATCAGCTCATCGATCAAACCCAGAGCAGACTTTATAGCCAGTGAGGAGGTAAATATAAACGGCCGACAGGTAACGGAGTTGACGGCGATGAAGCTGAACCACCCATACGTAGTGCCAGGGTAACGAGGATGCCTGTGGACAGTTCTTTTCTATTCGAGATCGCTCTTGCGGGTGCTGTTTGCAAGTTTTGGTACGGAAATATATATTTGCGGTGGGGCACCATTTACGGAAATCAGCAGCAAGTGAACAACACTCCAATGGGACTTGAAGAGTACTCGTTTTCTGGTGGACATTCCAATTTGGTTCATGTCATCCCGCAGCAGTCAAACAGCCATGCGCAGTTTGCGCGCAGTAGCCTCAGATGCACAGCCCAGAAACTACGCGCTCAACACAGCCATGGGAGGAGTAGTTTACCCTTCTTGGAGGTGCACGGAGGTCAGAAGCAAGAAGAGGGCGTCACAGATGTCACGTCACACGTGATTGAAACGCGACCACGTGAACATGCCAAACCGACATGGATGGATGAAAACTGAATTGAACGCGTCGTGATAGGTTTAGAGTATAAGTGAAAATACCAAGCTGGATCCGCTTGTGAATTTCATTTATTTGACCATGAAAGATGTTCAGATCAGAGAGGCCAAGAAAAACACTGAGTAGGATTCTATGCCACGAAATCTGTCTGACTATTTTCCCATTGGCCCTTATCGAATGTGGACACGAAACTTGATTTTTTCTACGCAGCATTTTACCGAGTGCAGGATCGCCGTATTTACGCGGAATGCCGACATCCGGCAGCAAAGACGGGGGAAGACCGCGCGACCCATTTACGGAATCAAACGCGGTGATGCAACTTGGGTGCTTGCCGCAGTACATTCCCGATGCCATTCA